TATATATCATCTATATAATATCTATCTATTATCTAATATCTACCAGATTCATCTATATATCATCTAGTTAACCTATATTCATCTAACTCATCTGTTATCTATCATCTATATAATACTTATCATCTTTTTATCTATTATTTATCTGTTGCAGAAACTTCTGGTAGTCAAGAGACCAACAGCCAAGTCAGGTGAAGGAGAGGGAGTTTATTTACATCAGTGGGCTGACACATGGATTATTCCATAATGGTGCCTGCCATGAGCTTAAGTTTGTAGGGAAATTTATAGTAAGCAAACAAGCAGGGCGTTCCAGATGTGTATACCTGCTAGTTAAGCAAGCGGTTACATGCAAACACATGGTTACAAAAGTTCACAAGAATGTAGCATTTTGGCACACAAAGATTTCAATGCTGGATAGATGGTTAATAAACCACTGGGAGCGGGAGCAGATTCCTGTTCACCTTCCTCATTCTTTTATTTCTATCTCATCTTAGGGGTTTTCCGTGGTTCAAGGTTCTTAGCAACTACCTCATTGTAAGTAAATTTCCATTTGTCATCACATATCTAATATCTATCTAGTTCATCTATATATTATTTATTTCATCTATATCCTAATTCATCTGTTATATATCACCTATCTATCATCTATCTACTATCTATCTATCTATCTACCTACCTATCATCTATCTTCTTTATAATTCATCTATCATCATCATCATCTATCTATCTAATATCTATCTAGAACATCTATCTCATACATGGTCTATCTAATTCATCTACCACATAGCTGTCATCTATCAATCTCTCTGTATGCATGTACCCAACTTCAGGGGTGGCTATGCATATTAATCTACTAGAAACAGAGTTCCTGAATTAATGCTTTATACAACAGAGGCATGAATTCCATTAGAAACAGCTACTGTTACCCCGTTTCCATAATTTTGTGTTAGTGACTTGCCTAGAATCACTTAAGCAAGGTTGTTGGCATCTAATTTCTACTTTCCTAGTTTCAGAGTTCTCCTCCTGCATGATAGCTTGCATTTCTGAGATTCACGGGCCCCTGGACTGCCTATTCTTGGTTTTTGTCTGTTAAACTAAGTGCTGCCTCAGAATGCCTCTGTACTGTGAGTTTCCACTTACTGAACTGCAAGCTAATTTAGTATGCAAACTAACTGAAAACCTAATTTGGTGTGTTTTATAATCAATAACTATCTTAGCTAATCACAGCAGACAACTGATAGAACATATTCATGTAAGTCATATCCTGAAAAACAGCCCATCAGGCTGTTTCTGTACCTCACCTCTGCTTTCTGTCCATAATTCTGCCTGTCCGTGCAGTGTTGCTCAGCTCTCTAAATCTCTTCTACTCCAAGGGTTGTCTGGTTTGTGAATCTTTCTTTGTTCAGTTAAACTCGGTTAAGTATAATTTTTCTTCAAGTTTTTCTTTAACTTTCCCTTACTCCGTCATCATCTTTCAGGGAGACTCACCTATGCCAGGAATCTTGTTTTCTGTAACTTACATCCACAAAGAAGCTAAAGTAAGTGAAGACAAATGGACTTTTCAATAACCCATAAGAATATCTATGATTTTATTCCATATCTGTCATATGCCAGTGTTTCTGTATATTTTCTCCAGTTCTCTTAAAACCACTGATCATGAGGAAAACCTTGGAGAATTAGGGAAGGCTTTGCAAAGTGCTGCTTTCTCAGATTAAGTCATAAAAGATGAACAGAGTTAGCTGAGAGGATGTGTGGCCTGGCACACTGGGCAGGTGTTCCTGGAGAGGGAATGGGAGATGAAAGAGCTTGGAGGTGAAGATAAGTGTGACTGACTTGAGAAATGCAGCTCAACTTGATGAGGAACCATAGGAAGTGAAGAAATGGTGTGGCTTGAAGACGGAGGCATGGGTGGGAGATGGGAAAGGATAAAACTAGAGAGCCAAAAAGACCAGAGTGGCTGGAGAGATGGCTCAGCAGTTAAGAACACTAGTTTTTGTAGAAGACCTGGGTTTGTATCCCAGCACCCACATGGCAGCTAACAACTGTCTGTAACTCCAGTTCCAGGGGATCCAACAGTCTCTTCTGTCCTCCGTGGGCATTGCACGGTCCGGGTGCACTTGCCTACATGGAGACAATACATGCATACACATAAAATAAAGATAATAAATAAAATAGTTTAAAAAAACAACAAAAGCATCAAAAATACACCATAAGAGGGCTTCAAAGTGATACCAAGTCTGAACTCTTTCTGGGGGCAATTTGGAGATGCCCAGTGCATCTTTTTGGCATGTTATTTTAGTTACAGTGAAGAAAAGTGGTTTGAATGAATAAAATTGAAATATAGGTATAGAAATGGAATAAAGGATCCACATGGGACCTAAAAATTAAATAATTATCTATGCACTTTCACAGTCATTTATACATTCAATGACTATATTGAATACCTTCTGGATACAAAATATTTGCTAAATAAATGTTAAATTATTATAAATTAACTATTATTTATTCAGTCCCCATTATGTGTAAGGTATGGCTAAATGCTTTTTAGAAACAATGAAATTAATTTCTTTTTCTGAGACAGGTTCATGTTATATAGCCCAGTCTGGCTTTGAACTCTCTATTCTTCTGCATCTTGAGTGCTAGGATTACAAACACATGCCACTATGCCTCTTAACAGGTGAGGAAACAGAAGCAAGCAGAAGTTGTGCATCCCAGTGACATTACTACTTAGTGAAAGAGTCAGAATTTGATCATAGGTCAGTGTGACATCCTGCCAGATCTGTCATGCTACTCAAAGAAACATTTCACACATGTAAGTTATGATTAACAGTCTCCAAAATCCAAAAAGAAAAAACCCAGTAGGATACTTTGTACTAACTAAAAAGTTTTAATCATCATACATGGACCAATTGGCCTAGATTTTCATAAAGAAATTACCTTTGCTTTACAGGCAAACAATTTTATATATCTCTGCATGAATAATAATGTAAAAATTGAAGCTCTTAAGTCTCAAATCGATTTGCATTCCAAGACTTTTTTCCACCATTACTCCCAGTTCTGTGTCCATTCTTCATTAATATAGATATTACTAAAGGATACATTTGAAATAGGAGATAGGAAGATGCATGCTACAATAATGCCAGACTTTCCAAGGGAAGACACTCTGAACTTGTTTGTCTGAGCACATTTTATTTGGGGTTCGGTATGAATTTTCAATAGATGCTTCTCAGATAAGAAAGCAGCAATTCAAATGCAATTATATAAACAAGAAGATCAGAGGGGAATTATCCTGAAGGGTATAAAATGAGCAGAGTCTGGGTCACCACAGCATCTGCCCTCTAGTGCAAAGCAAGGTAGGTGCCTACATGGAACAGGACCTGTGAAACAAATGCTTTTGTTATCGTTTTCTTTTACTTTCTACAATTGTAGCATTTATTTAAACACTGAAAATGCTGAGAGAGAATTTTCTTTAATAGGCTCTGATATTTTTAATTATTGCTCCAAACCATTCAGAAGGGGTGAAAGTGAGTGAACTGCATATATAAGGATAAGGTGAAATTCCATTGACTTAAGGGATAGAAACAAAGGTCAGTTTCCTAATGAAGGATGGAGGGTGTGCATGAGCTTTTCCTGTTTACTTTTCTATTTAAATGTTTTTATTACTTGAATAATCTGTGTATTAAAGCTTTTTAAGTACTAGTGGCCATCTTTGCTGAAAATATACTTCTTGGGAGTTTTAGAGTAAATTCAGTTTTGAGTGCCTGCGGGGATACTCTATATTACAAGATATTTTTAGTTATTTAATAGTGAAATAGTGAATAGTGAGTATCCAATGCACATATTTTATTAATATAGTACATTTTTTTCTGTCTAGAAAGATATTCTGCTTTAGTGAAGTTCTGGGATTGTTCCAAGAATGGAAAATTGATTCATTTTATTGTATAGTAAGGAATTTAGATAGAAGAGACTGGTGATAGGTATTAGCAGAGAAAAGAAAGGTGTGTTTAATAATGAAAGCAGTAAAAACAAAAAGAAGAAACTGAGGAGAAAGGGGTAAAGAAAAGAACACAGAAGAAAAGTGTCCGGAAAAGGACGCTACCAACACTGATTTGCACGGCGTGGTGTAGTGATGCAATTTTTCGTGTAGGATTCACGTGTATTGTTTTACTCTTTTTATGATTTTAGAAAGTATATAGAGAAATAAAGTCACAAGATATTAGTTTCAACCACAATTAGGTCTAAGAGCAGAATTTTAGATTACTAATTCTTAAACCAGTGTTCTGATACTAATTTAGCACAGAATCACAGATTATTTGTGCTACGAAGAATTTCCTGATCATCTTTTGATGTTAAGCTCTCCTTTTATAGCTGAAAAAATGAGGTACAGAAAGATTATAGAGGTTAAGTTTTACTATTTCCAATAAAGAAGTGAAAGAGAAAGAATCATTTTTATTCTTCATATCTGCAGCATTGTATAACTACTATGACTGGTAATTCAGTCCTTTTCAAGACATTTTGCTTTATTTAGTTTAAACTTCTACATTTATAAGAGGACTTTAGCAATAGTGTCACTCATGAATAGGACAATGGGAAGAGTTATAGCATAATTTTTTCATCTTACTTTTAAAAAAAATCAATTTTGTTACTTTTTAAATTGGTGTGTGTGAATACCACCCATGTGTGTGAATACCATTCATGTGTGTGTATGAATACCATCCATGTGTGGGTTTCTGTAGGGGCCAGAGGCATTGTATCCCCTGGATCTGTGCTGCTAACATAATGGAATGAACTGAATACTATGGAGGGAACACATATTTATGAAACACTTGAAAAAAAATCACAACCCACCATCAAGGAATTCTTGTGGTTGCAAGCTGGGATAGCATCCTAGCCACAGAGCAGGATGCTTTGCATGTGAGGCTGGGTATGTGTGAGATTCAGGGTTCAGTCCCTAGCACTGCAAAAAAAAAATAAAATAAAGTCACAGGAATCCTTATGTTTTCACTTTGTAATGCAAACAATAAAAAATGCTTCAAGAATGCTCAACCACTCAATGACTTATTTAATGGGGTCTACCATGAAACACTTCTTCCAAAAATGATTTATCTCACCTTTGATAATTGTGGGTGTCAGTCAGAATTTGGACTCTCTCAGAGCGCTTAGAACAATCTGTATTTTTATACTCGTGTCCACATTTAGTTCCTCCATGGAACTGTCAGTCCTTTGGGTCAAGGACTGTACTGTATCCATTTTGGGTCTCCCAGTGCTTGGCTCAGATGTTCAATCCACGTTCATTCAATTTCTCTACAATTCCCATGCTAGGAATAAGATACTGATTGGAATGACTACTAATCCTTAAATGTTGATATTTGGAATAAATCCTTAGTAACCTATGCAATGCTTTCATTTTGTCTTATAAATTTATTGAAGATAAAATTCTGGGTAACTGAGACTGGCTGTTCAAGGTTTCAGTAGATAGAGATTTTAGCGTATGCAGTTTTAAAATGTTCTTGAGATACAACTGACAGATGTAAGAAAATCTTGGTACATTTCTGATGAATGAATAAAATGTTTAGTGAATAATATTTTTTTCAGTTTTTTACATTTTGGAGGGCATGTACCACAGCACGCATATGTGTGTGTGGGGGGGGGGTGTGGGGGTGCACCTTAGCATGCTTGTTGGGGTCAGAGGAAATCTTGTAGGAATAAGTTCTCTTTTTCTACCATCCATCAGGATCCCAGGAATTGAACTCAGGTAATAAGGCTTGCACAGTACTCACCTTTACTTGCTGAGCCATCTTGCTACATGGTAAATAATCATTTAATAGAATAAGCAGACAACTTTGTGTTTATGGATACCACTATTGCTCCCGTAAGCATATATTTTCTTTGCTGACAATGATACTTGAGAAGAAGAAAAAATCCAAACATACCAAGCCTGCTGAACAATATTAGTAAAATGAAAAAAAAATCTTCTTAATCTTTGAGGTGATCAACCTACATCCAAAAGTCTGAAATTTGATTACCCTCTCTCAGTAGCAGAACCAAAATATTTATAAGCCATAACATCACCTAGATTATTACAGTGCTCAACCCATAGCGAGCAGTTTCTCCAGTAGACAGGCTCTGATGAGCACCTGCTCTGCTGCTGTCTGGGGTTCAGGGGTCCCTCCATCACCTTCCATACAGCCAAAGATGTTAATGAATCTGGACAACTGGTGATGAATCCGCCATTCTTGGCTTTTACTCTTAGAGTGTGAAACTGTGCTTTGTTTTGGCCTCTACATGCTTTTAAACAACGAGTGTCATACATCTTCTGTATTCCAGTGTTAAAAGAATATTCCAAGGATTAAGAAGGGGGTTTCTAATCCCTTAACATCAGTAGCAATTTTACATGAGCTTTTCAGGACTTTCTCTAACCTGATATCTTCTTGACTAGAGGCAGGTAGAATTACGTGCAGGCTATGCATAAGGATGGTGATAGAATTTGCTTATATTTTTTTCTTAGTTTCTTTCTCTTTGTGATTATGTAAAAGGTATGCTGGCCTTTAAGCTGTTGAACCAAAGGGTTTTTTTTTTGTTGTTGTTGCTTTTATTTTTATTTTTCAGAAACTTATAGTTCTGGGAAAGCTCTTCCTAAAGAATATTTGTTAATTCACTTCTTATAAAAACATACTTTATTATATCTTTACTATTCATTCAAATTATTTTACCCTTAGTTGACAGGAAACTCTCCTTTTTCTGGTGATGCTGCAAGCTTGCATTTCACTTCCCAGGGGAGCCCAATGGCACATGCAGGTCAGACTCTAAAGTGTGAGCTCTAAATTATGGATAAACAGATCACAGACAACTCAAGGCATATTAGTGGGCTTGGGAGTTCTAAATATGCAAAAACACCTAATACAGGGCCTAGGAATAAGCCTTCAATAAATTGTGACTGTTCTTATTATTGGCTATGTGTGTTCATACATATACGTAAGTTTTCCCCAAATGTGCCTCTGAATGTCAGGAAAGGATACATGTAATGGGCTCTGCAATTTTATCTTTGATTCAGCATGAGTGCTATCGTCCTGATGTCCGTGCTTTTTGCTCTTGCGTGTGGGCAAGCAGCATCTTTTTGTATACCAACTGAGTATACAATGTACGTCGATAGGAGAGAGTGTGCATATTGCCTAACCATCAACACCACCATCTGTGCCGGGTATTGTATGACAAGGGTATGTAGTTCTTTGAACTTCTTTTAGGTGTAAATTATATAGACCTAAAGTAGACCATTCATATTTAGAAAGGAAATGTCATAAATCATAACACCATTTTCCAAGTCGAATGATACTGACTCTTTAAGAAGTCAAGTACACCATTTACAGAATTATGTGGATCTACTCAGAAAAATAAGTACAGATTCATTTGTAACAGTTTACTCCCTCAAATTTATTTAAACCTTATAAAAGAGAGGAATGTGTCATTTTTGTCTCTGAAGGATTAAGTATAGCTGTCTTAAGGTAGTATTGGGGGATAAGGCTCAGGAATCTTCTTTTAGTCATATTTGTAACAAAGGGCTGTACATAAAGTATATAAGCTGGGTTCTGCCTATTGCACTATCTATATGGTCTTTAAAGTCTATCACATTATGACCCCTTTTCTATTCTTCACACAGGATATCAATGGCAAGCTGTTTCTTCCCAAATATGCGCTCTCCCAGGACGTTTGTACATACAGAGACTTCATCTACAGAACTGTAGAAATACCAGGATGCCCACACCATGTCGCTCCTTATTTCTCCTACCCTGTTGCTGTAAGCTGCAAATGTGGCAAGTGTAACACTGACTACAGTGACTGTATACATGAGTCCATCAAGACCAACTACTGCACCAAGCCACAGAAGTCCTATCTGGGGGCATTTCCTGTCTAACTTTAAGAGCAATGTCATTTGCACTCTGGTTAAATGTGTTTACCTGGAATAGAAGTAATAAAATATCATTGTTTCACAATATGTTGTATAAGTTTTGAGTACTATTTAGTCCACAGGCACATCCACACAGGCATTAGAGAGCTTAAGAAGCCTTAGAAGAAGAAATGAGTGGGCAAGGCAGAAAGGTGAAGGTCTAATGGAACAAGAACATGAGATGCCAAGGAAAGGCGGCCCTGAGTAGACTCTCTACCAGAGGACCAGGAGGCCTGTCTTGACATAGAAAGTGAATGTGGTACACTACAGAGTAAGGAAGGGAGAGCAATGTCATTAGCTGCATTGAGGTACTAGAGACATTGTCCCTTTAAAGGCTAGAAGCAGAGCTGGTGTGCAGGTGGTAGGGATAGATGAAATCTGTCATAGAAAACTTTATCCTAGTCATTCAAATCCCTGGATAATACTCCACAAAACTCAGGCAAGAGTATGGGAACTATTCTCTTTAATTTAATTACTCTGGTGGGCCAACTAACCTATGAAAGTTATACCCCAGGAAGTCAACCTATAAAGCCTAGAAAAGAGGCCACGATCATTTTACATGTGGAAGTCTAAATCCTTAATAGTCCCTCAAGTAATGGGAGATATTTTCTAGAATTTATACCAAAAGCAACAGGTCTTGTTAGGGGTTTGGCTATCACCAAGCACTAGCACAACTGTGACAGGTTTTAGGGATGGGAAAGAGGGCTAAGCAAGTCAATGGAGTGGAATTGTGTTCTGTTCTAACCTTAATCTTCATTAATACTGATACTGTTTGGGGGTAATATACTTGGTAAGGTGCTATTTTTCTTTTCCTTTCTTAGATGTTCCTTCTTGAGAGTTTGACTTTAAGTGATTCTGTTGTCTTGACCTTAAAAAGATTATTTATCTTTATTGGCCATTACTTGCCACCAACAAAGTGAAAATCAGAAGTCAGCAGGGTGATTTGGCTTTGCTGTGTTGCACAGCCACTGGTTAAACTCATCATTTGAAACTTATCTTTGAATGCCTGCATCCTGACAGGGCACGGGGGAAGTGACGGTAGTGCAGACGGATTAGTACTAACCCAGGTTTTGCCAAGGATGAGGAATAATTATGCACTTACATACAAAAGAGTCAAGAACTCCCATTATTTTTACCTTACTATCTGAAGTTGATACTTGTAAATGACCTCCGAATATTAAGCTAGGGCTTTGGGTTCTCATATTAACTGAAAATATGAGCGCTTAAACCTACATTATCATTTTAAGGTTGTTTATGAAATATTGATCTTTGGTGAAAGAGTAAAAAAATCTAAAATGTCAAACCTATCTAGCACTGAACACAAATAATTTTCATGTATCTTGAAATTTGTTTTCAAGGACTTGTAATATGGAAAGGCCAAGATAACTCATTTCCTCTCATTGAAGGCAGTCCATTTGGAATACATGCACATTTGGGATGGAGCTCAGGGATTGAGATGACTAACAATTTACTTCAGCTGGATCCACATACTTGCAGATACAGAAGATCTAATTTGAAGGACTTTGGTGTCATTTTGGTTTAACACAAAAATGAATAGAGAAGCTCAGAAATGGGAAGGCAAAAGACTCATTGGTTACACTGGAATTCTCCTACAATGACAGAAACCAGAGCATCTTCAGGAGCAATCGTTAAATTCATGGTAAAGTTTAAAGGAGTCAGTTCTTCTCAGAGGAAGTTTGAAACTCAGAGCTCCAAGAAAAAAATTCCCATTCTTATTGGATTGAAATACAAAGAATTCTTTCATAACTCCATAGATTTCAGGTCATTGCTACAGTGATCTTTATCTAACTGTAAATTCGTTGGGAATAAGTACCAGAGTGGATGTACTGGCAGGTTAGCAGCGTGATGCTTCCTGGCAATGGGAAATTCTACTAGAAACTCTTCTTTATGTAGCTAAAGAATCTTTTTAAAATTTAAGACTCAAGTCAGTCTAAATGCAATAAAAATCCTCTTATCAATGTTAACATCCATTCTAACCAATGTTGAGTTTTTCCCCATCTTCTCATCAGCTCTGGATAATCCCTCCTTCTCTAGCTTTAAGATAATTCGGTGTTGGTTTCTTTATTTCTACCTGCCTTTTGTCTGCTCTCTCTGTCTGCTTAGAGTCCAAGTCTCTTCTTCTGGTGGCTGCACCCTGACTCTCCCTTGGGTGATTTTTGTATTTCCACTCTCAGCTCGAGTGGTTTGAGGGGCTGATGGAGATAGGCACGCTACTCAGGCTCAGCCAAGCTTTCCTGGGTTTAGTCTGGTTTTATGACCATAATCCCTCCCAACAGGAGTCATTCACAGGCTTTTACTTGACCTGTCAAAAATGGAGTGCTTTGCTTACTGGAGTTGGCAGACCACAAGTTGGAGCCACTGCTCTGACCATCTTAGGGATTGCTTAGAAATAGCCAGCCTGAGACCAAAAAAAAGTCAAACCAAAGGAGTCTAAGAAAGACCAAGGGTGAGAACTGAGCTTCTTGATTATGCTTGAGTATAATCTGAAGCCAACTTCACCCTTAAAGAAACCTCCACTCTCCTTTTCTGATACCTGAGAAGCCCTGGCTGATACAGCGTCTTGTTTCAGATGTTCCTAATAATCCTATCTCCTCATCTTCTCTTGCTAACGCCTCATGTTCCTTCTACTTCCTCTTTCCCGACCCTTCTCCTTGGTGTGAAACATCCTTTGATCTTTTCCCATAAAAAGCCAACAACCCTGTCTCAGCCCTACACCTAGGGCCGTCTGGTTACTTGAGTTCTTATTCCAGGATTTGAGACCACTGTCCTAGGCATTCTTCACTTCTCATTCTCTTTTAGCCCACTATGATTTGGTGTCTACTCCTGTCCTCCTTTGAAACTGTTTCAGTAAGGGCAACAGTGGTCAGCAAACAATCTAATACACAAGACAGCTCTTTCCTTAGCCTCTCTGCTTCCAAAGGGCTTGGAGGAGGCCACACACCTGCATTCAGAATGTAATGAAGCTATGGCGTTTATAATTATCCCAGTGAAGAGTGAAACCAACTTTTTTTCATTTTACTTTTCTTTCTTTTTTTGAGATGGGGCGGGAGTCGCAGAAAGCCCAGGTTGGGATTGAGTTTGTGATCCTCCTGCTTCTGCCTCTGAAGGGCTGGGATTGCAAGTTTGCACCATATCACTCAATCCTAAAAGGAAAAATGCTTTTTCCTTTTGTCTGCCTTCTCAAAGTTGACTCAAAACCTATGCTATGGTCAATAGTAATGTAGATCTGGACGGTACTTGTACCGTACATAGTAATCTATACTATGGCAATAGTAATGTAAATCTGGATGGTACTTGGGGTAATTTCGCTCTATACTGTGAGTGCAAAGATTCTAAATTTGAAAGAAAGGGTAGAGCTATAATAATCTTGTGTGTGCTGTTGGTCCGTTGGACACTGTTAAATGTAGAACTTATAAAAATCTTCTGTTTATATTAATTCATCCTCAGATTGCCTGAGGAAGTGCCCATTTTAGTTATCTGAAGTTGGCTTCCCCCTTAAAGAAACCATAGCTTTCCTTTTCTGCTTAACCAGGGAGGTTTAGATGCCACAGAGCAGTTGCCAAAGGAATGCAGGCAGCCAGAACTTAACAACTCTAGGTTAAGAAATGCATGGGGAATAAATAAGGGTTGTGGGCTTTTCAGGTTGGCCTCGATCTCACAGAGATCTGCCTGCCTCTGCCTCCTAAGTGGTGGGACCAAGGGTATGTGCCACCAGGCATACCAAAAAATAAAATTTAATAACTTTTTTGTTTGTTTGCTTGTTTGTTTGTGACAGGCACTCCCTGTAGCCTCAGCTGATCTGGAAATTGCTATGAAGAACAAAGAACAAACTGGCCTTGATCTCAACAGAGATCCACTGGCCTCTGCCTCCCAAGTGCTGGGATTAAAGGCATGCATCATTATGCCCAGCCTTGATTGTGGGCTTTTATCTTACTGGATAGAGGGTTCTAATTTTTTTAAAAAATATTTTATTATTTTTATGTGTACGAGTGTATTGCCTGCATGTATGGGAGTGCACCGTGTTGTGCGATGCCACGGAGGTCAGAAGTGGGCATCGGATTCCCCTAGAACTGGAGTTAAAGACGGTTCTTAGCTGCCATGTGCATGCTGGGAATTGAACCCGGGTCTTCTGCAAGAGTAGTCAGTGCTCTTAACCACTGAGCCACCTTTCCAGCCCCAGAGGATTTCAATTTTTAAACTTCACTTTCTCACCAGGGATCTCATCATGAAGTGGCTCATCCTACTTGAAGCTGGTCATTCTCATTTGTATATAGCAGATTCCTGAACTGCAGTTTTAGTTCAGAGTTCTTTTCTGAGCTTTAAGATCATATATACAACCTGCTTGCATTTCCTATTTATTTTGTGTGTGTGTGTGTGTGTGTGTGTGTGTGTGTGTGCACACTCGAGTGCCATGGCATGCCTGTGGAAGTCAGAGAACAATTTGTGGGGTTCAGTCCTTTCTTTCTACCATGTGGGTTTTGGGGAGTTGAACTCAAGTCATCAGGCTTGGCAGCAAGTGCCTTTATTCACTGAGCCATCGCGCCAGCCTTGTAGTTCTTGAAGGTCGTGTAGCCATCTGCTCTCACACTGCTACCCTTTGCTTTCCCTCCTGTGTGCACTCTTCCAGGTGCCAAGTCAAAGCCTGGGAATTATTCTACGTTCCTCTCTCTCACCCTTCACATCAAATTTCTCTTGTCTACTTCTCGGTAAGGTTCTAGCACACTAGTTAGAAATCCTTATGATTCTGGTCTTTGCCATACAATCCTCTCATTCTGAGTGATCTGAAATGTTTTGATAGCTGAAAGTCTGGCTCATTAGAAGTTTTATTTTGTAACTCACTGTTTAAAATTTTCCTCTTAACCTCAGGACAAAAAATAAGATTCTTTTTTTTTTTTTTTTTTTTTTTTTTTTTTTTATGGAACTCACCATGTAGACCAGGCTGGCCTTGAACTCACAGAGATCTGCCTGCTTCTGCCTCCCGAGTGCTGGGCTTAAAGGTGTGCGCCACCATGCCCAGCCTAAGATTCGTTCTTTTAAAGCACAGTTTACCAGGGCCCTTTATTTCATTAGTTTCTGATAAGCTCTCCTTGAATGCTTCTGTGCTGTCTCAGGGTCTTCTTGTGTGCTTTCCTTGGGGATCCCCCTTCTTTTTTCTTCTACCTCTACCACTCTGACTTGGCCAATGTGTAAATGTTCTTCAAGACTCAGTTCAGAGATGTTGACATCAAGGAACCCTTTCTCTCCCGACCAGTCTTTCCAAGTTGGAGTGGGCCCACTCTGGGATAATGGTCACCATATCACTTACAGCAACATCCCAACCTACTTTTCTCCAACCCAGGTTTGTCCTGCCCATAGCACATCAGTGTTCTCATGAGGTTCTTTTCAAATTCACAAAATGGTAACTTTAAAAAGCAAAAAATCAGTTGTAACATTAGTGTAGACACATCTTCTAAGAAAAAGCATACCCAGAGAAAAAGATACCAATTCTAGCTGTGACTACTATCAAGCCTTTGCATTAAAATAGACTTGGGAAATGTCAAAAGTATTGATGAATTCAATAAATGAATATGTTCATATAGATAATTGGTATCACATGGTGGTGCCTTCAATTTTGTATGATTTTTAGAAAATAATTTATAATTAATAGAACCCTTTGTTGGAGTATCAACATAATTATAATAGCTAATATTCAGTAGTTCCCAGGTATGGTAAGTACTTTATACTGGTTATTCCTTACTTAGTAATCAGCACACAATTTGAATTTCTTTAGGTAACTTAAATTTTTTTCTATTTAATAGAAGTAAAAAAAATCATAAAGTGTACAGGAATCAAACAAACAAACAAAACCCAACCTGAAACACAAAGAGAAAGCTCTGGAAAGGTTTCTGGCATGTGAGCGCAACACTTTCCAAAACTGAGCAGACCGTGCTTTGCTACTTCTATTCCTCGTGATTTCCCTTTTCCACAGGATAGTGTCTGAACTGTGAATTCCTGGAATTTATTTACCCTGTATGTTTATGATAAGGACAGCAAAAATTAATAATGCTCTGTACTGGTGTACTATTTGCACCTTTAAAAGACACCTACATATAATACTTTTATAGTAAAAATGAAGACTGTTTTAAAGAAAATAGAAAATTGTCCTTCTTAAAATATACTTGAATATAAATTTGATTTTGATGCACTCAGACCAACAGGATCAACTACCTTCAAGAGCCCATACTTTGCTCTTTTCTAGGGGTAAAGAAAATGGGGTTACCAAAATGAGGAGCTGGTGCCAAAGAGCATGTCGGGGGGCCCTGAACCAGAAAGTTGGGGTATAGTGGGATACAGTAGCTGGCCTCTGGGTCACAGAAGCCAACTTTCAGCTGTGGCGACAGTGGCTCTCTCTAGCATTTGATAAACTTAATTCAGAAAGGAAGAAACTGCTAGTTTCTTCATTGCCATCTGCCCACAAATCTTCTTTCTTGCCCAGCATCACCTACTGTGACTCCTCACAGGGAACAGTAGCTATGGCAGCAGCCTGCAGGGGGACCACACTGGACCCAGGGTTAATTTTACAGACAGAGCCACAGATAACACAGCTTTTTCTGGAGGAAACAGGTACAATTTGGGGAAAACAGCTGAAATACAATCATATGTAATTAGAATCCTTCGAGTCCTGCTTTAAAGCTCACCTCCCAAGAGTAATGGTACAGAAGGGTTACTAATCCATTTTTACTATATTATTTGGTTAATCAGTAGTTAAGACATTTACTTATTTATAATTTCTTTATGTGTATGAGTATTTTGTCTACATGTATGTTGTGCAATGCTTGTGGAAGTCAGAAGAGTTGGATCCCTTGGAACTGAAGTTATGGAGAGTTGTTGCCACCATGTGGGTGCTGGGACCTGAACTTGGGTTCTCAGCCAGTGCTCTTAATGCTAAGTTATCTCTCCAGCCCAATAGCTAAGATAAATAAGTCAGGTGAAGGCGTGTAAAAAGATACACTAGGATTTTAGATAAATCAAGCAATTTAAATACATAGAAAATTTAATTTGAAATAACTTAAAATGTTTGGGTGTAATCTCAAATTAGTTCAGGTAAACAGAAATAACTGACAATTTATGTATACACATGTGCATGTGTATATACATATACGTATATATCCATACTCAATACGTGTATTAAAATTACATAGGTCTATATTTCTTAAGAGATATGTATTTAACATATATACAGGTTCAAGACATGGGAATTTTATATCTCTATAGATAGAACTTTATCTGTTCACATAAAGATATGTATCTATCTTCACTCAGGTGGAATTCTCTAGTTTTACTCATGGCAAATTCTTTAGAAAGCTTAACCCACAACGAGGTACACTAATCACATGTGACATGGATTTCTAGTCTCCTCCTTAAAATTAAAAAACATTATATTTTTCCACTTATAATTACTGTAGTTTCCATTTGTAATTACTGAAGTGAAACACACTTCTGTGGTACAGGAAATTATTCTGAGCTGGAGGAACCTGAGGATGCACGAGCCTGTTTCTTGTCCTCACGCAGACAGACTGAACTAAGGCTACAAGAAAGATTGACTGCTCTTTACTTAAAAAGTTATACTCATCAACTACTGGGGTATAAAAGTCATGAATTAGTTTTCTTAGAAAAATCTTTTCTTTAGACGCTAAAGTAGTCATACACAGTTTTTTAACTTAGTCCCAATCTTTTTTTTTTTTTTCTAGAAAAGTTTTCTCCAAAGTTAGTAGCAGTACTGAGTATAGCTGAAAGAGAAAAGTGGTTGCTCTACGGGAATGAGACGATCCAGGCAGTTACGAGTTTTCAGCAAAATGTTTTGTGAAAGTTTCTTGGAAACACGGTACTTTCCTTTGACACATATCCAAAGTCTTACGTTTTTAACAGGCACAGAGGCTCACCTGCAGGCTTCCCAGATCCCTCATACTTCATTTTTGTGTGGCCAAATACAATAAAACCATCCATAATTTACTTTCTGTAACATTTTGTTTAAAATTGCCAAACAACATGGGGTGTGGTGGTGCACACCTTTAATCCCAGCACTCGGGAGGCAGAGACAGGTGGATCTCTGTGAGATTGAGGCCAGCCTGGTCTACACAGTGAGTTCCAGGCAGGCTATGAGACCCTTTCTAAAAAAACAAAACCCCAAAATTGTCAAACAAATATGCAATTTAGACTCCAAGTGTGGACTTTCCCATTTATACTTAATCTTAGCCAAAAGGCCAAGCAATGCTTGAGTCTTCCCACATACGATCAACTACTGAGGTAAAAAACTAACCCGAACATTTTATTTTCATAGGGACTTGGAGAGAAGGAATCTGCTTGTGCCATGCTGTGTGCAGATAAGTACTTCTGTTTCCTGACTTGCTTTGGTTGTGTTGTACAACTGGGAGAAGATATTTTTCTTTATTTCATTTAGCCAAGGATGTTCATAAGATAATATCTGAGTATGAGGGACTTTATTGATTTTAAGGGTGAACACTATATTCTTGATCTATGAAGAAATAAATAAGAAAAAATATAAAAATTAGGAAAATATGTAAACCCAAGTTATGAGGTATTTCAAAGCTATAATGCCAGTAAAAATGTTCTTTCCCACAATGTCCAACTGTAGAGATTCACACTTTAATCTTTTATCCTTACATTTGGAGAAATATAGAAGAGTTTGAGATAAAGGCCCTTTTTGGGGAGGCGAAGGTTGTAGTAGTTCAAGGCAGAGGCAGGAAAGAAAAAGGATAAAGCAGTATAAACATGTCTTTGTATAAGAACATTTTTTTAGCCTTAAAAATTGTTGGCCTTCTTTTTAGTCCTAAAAGCATTTATTTTTATAGGGCAGATGACTGTATGACTACTTTTTCCAGTGGGAGTTTTTTTTTTTTTTTTTTAAA